AAAGCAAGAAAAAGATGATTATCAGCTTTTGTTGAAAAACTGTTGTTTTCTACAAATGCAGCTGCATTCGTGAATTACTCATATATTTATTAATTTTTTTTTATCTTTTATACCTTAATTATGATAATTGATGCTCATGTAAAAAGCAAAAAAATTTTTAGACGATGAATGTAACTGAATAACAAAAATAATAATAGCAATAATGTCGTTCATAATAACAACAAGAAAAACAACAGTAATAGTAATACCAATGACAGCAGCAACAACAAAAGACTAACAGAAAAGAAAATAAGCGGAGAAAACAGAAAAAAACCGTAAAATAAATTTAGAATGAAAAATTTTTTTGTGATTTTGAACAGTTGATCAAATTACCAATCGGATTATTCTCTATCAATCCACGTTTACAAAAGTCAACATTAAGCAATATATTTAAAAAAAGATGATTGTGAATGTCTTCACACAAGATTAGTTTTTTAATAAAAAATTCCAAATTTAAAAGAAAAATAAATAAATTTATTTAAACCAAAAACAATTTTTTTTTCCACATGATTAGTTTTATTTGTAGATTTCTGATATCTACGATACTGCACTGATCAGAAAACTTCATATCTTCTATTGAATATTGCTCGCCTTTTGGTAAACTTCTTTTTTAGCTTCTTCCCTCCTTCTCCCGTTCCTCTGTACTTTTATTATCATCTACGTTGTAAAATTAACAATTGTGTGAATTGGTAGAAAATTGTCCTATTTTTCTATTAGCTTCATTTGTTTTAAGGTGTAAATGCTGAACGTAACTTAAACCCCAACAAGCCATGGAGCCAGCAGCAAAAAGTTCAATCGTTCGCAGGGTAAAGAATGCGCAGGCATGGGCTGAACGTCAGCTTAGTCGTGCTTCACAATTCATTCATACCGCATCGATGTCTTGCGACGTGTCGTCCAGCGAAATATCTGCACAGTAAGCAAAAGTTTTTTTTTATATTTCCAACTAATTTTTTCTATTTGTTAAACTTCTAAATTCCTCTTACTACTGCGGAACCAATAAAGAACCTACATATTTTAATTAAATAAAAGAATCAAAAAACCAATAGTTTTTTATCATCCAAAGCCATTAAAGTTTATCCAAATTTTGTAGCCTTAGGTTTGTTGAAAATAAATTGGAAGAGGATTGCATTAGAGAGAGAAAGGCAGCAAAAAGGTTTGGAGAGGCATGAACAGTTTATTTATATGTTTTTCTGAAATAAAATGATAGAAATGAAAAGGAGATTTCTGGTGGAATAGAGTGTCAAAGATGAGAAGGATTTTGCAGGTGACAGTGCAGGCAGTTTAAAAAACGGCTAACCTAGCATTTACTGCTGTTTGGAGAGCCGTTGATACCAATTTTTCCTTAGTAGTATTTCACCACTACGAGTTTGTTTTTTTGCTTCAACTTTTCAATACATTCAGGAAGTTGAAACTGACATGAGTAATAAAAAAAAATGTTTTTTTTTAGCACATGCACAAACTTTTATTTGTATCTCTTTTACCATCAAAAAAAACTTGCTTTGATAAGACATCAAGTTCTTCATTTTCAAAGTTCTTTCCTCATCTTCTACAAATTCAACTTGGTCGTCTTTCTTTCCCTGTCTTCCATAAATCCGAGCTGACCGTCAGCCTCGTTCGATATGTAGTTTTTTGTTATAAAATGTTGCAGGATAAAAAACACTTTTCTTTTTGAGTCTGTTTGCTGTTACAAAAGTCAGTGTCTCAATTTTATGTCTCTAACTCTCCAAAATACCGAAAAAAACAAAACTTTACAGTTTTAGCAACATTTTTTGAGATGTAAAACAAGTTTTATTGCAATTCAAAAATTTTTGAAAGGTCAATTAGAAGAGCTAGAAAGATTTACGATTGCAAAGACCATCAAAAAATTGCCAAATGCGGGATAATCTCTTGTGGCCCCTTATCAAATGTTTCAAAACTTGAGTAACTTAAGAGACAACGATTTTTTGTCTCAAAAATTACTAGTGATTCTTTTATTTAGAATATTCACCAGATGACCCGATCCTTATGATCACTTCAGTATCTGAAATAATAAAACTGCTAATAATGTTTTGCTCGCAGAAATAAGACAGTTGGGCAATAAAAACAAAATAGGACATATAAAGTTTTTTTGGCTTACAGTATTACAGTTTAGGAATAAACACAGCTCGCTTACTTTTTAGAGTTGAAGCTTCAGATGGGAACTTTTTTGAACAGTTTATGGCATTTCCATCAAGAAGTCCGGCAGAAGAAGGGAAAGACGTCGCTAAAAGCGAAAAATATTATATTCGTGAAATTTCTGCAAACGACGATGATAAAGCTGTCGAGGTTTTTTACTTCAGTCAAGTTTACAACCGTTGAGTATCAGAAAGACAATAACATATTAGGCAACATTATCGTTGTTCAAAAACAAATTAGACCATATCTTTTACACAATGAATCTGCAGCAAGTCTTTCTTTTGGGATACTTTCCTACTCGGATTGCATTTATCGGTAGAGAGCATAAACGTAGTAAAATAATGCGATAAAAAATGATGCTGTTAAAACACTGGTTGCTAACTTTTTTGGTAGTTCTGAAGCTGGTTTTTTACAGCATGAGACAAGAAACGTAATTTCGTGAAAAATGCAGGAAAAAATAGTTATTTACTTAACAAAAATCATTGTGTTACTATTTATAATGCAATAGTTTTAAAGCATCAGTAATTTATAAGCATATGCCTAAATGCTTTCAATAAAATTTTTGCTGAAGGATTTATACGTAGAAGCCCTGTACACCATTGTTCACAAACTTGGTTGTTCCGCCTCTCATAAGAAACTTATCAATTATGTGCGCCAAGCATTCGACATGGACGAAGCCCATCACAAGCGTCTGATGTTCAGAGCTACAGAAGAAAAGGTATTAAACTACAAAACCGACTCCACTCTGATACCTTTTCAGAGATCCTTAAAGAAACATTGGGCTCAACTGATAACAAAAAAGAGCTGACAATATTGCACGTTTTTTGGCATTGCAGAAACAATAAAGCAAATTAGGTAAAGCACTTAAATTGCGTCTGCCGAGTGCTTCTTCAAAAAGCTTGTTTCGCCTTTTTTTCATATAATCTTAGATTTTCAAGCAAAGAACTTATAATCTGCTTTTCCTTCATCACTTTCAACCTTAAGTTCTGAAAACTCTTTTGGAAAATAAAAAAGTCTAAAACCTATTTTTAAAGCATACTGAAAAAAAATTTGTAAGAAAATTTTTTTTAAAGTATTAAAAAGTTTTTTAAATTCTTTGGCGCTTACGTAGTGCTATTTTTTCCTTGATTTTTCATAATTCAAATAGTATTTTTTGTAATATTATATTATTTCGCAGTATCAAATTACCACTTCTTCCTTTCACTTTTTTCTTTTCAATTTTTTTTAGAGAGTGGGTTTCTAATATTTCCTCTTCTGTTGATCGGTTTGAAGTATTTTGAGAAAATTGAATAGAGGAAATCAGAAAAAAACACAAGCTAAAAAGAAGAGGGAACAAGCAAAACCAAAGTTTTGTTAAACGTTTCGTTCGTTAAGCAACCAGGACAAGTGCTGCATTGACCAATCAAAATTGATGAGACGTCTGAAAGCTAGTTATTTAGTTTGACAAAGAAACAGGTAAATTTAAGAAAAGCCAGCAAAAAAACCTGTTTAGCAAGAATACAAAATAAGGTTGGAGGGAGGAATTAGCGGAAATTTTTGCACATTACACCGGATAAATTCGAATTGAGTCTGAGAATCAATGTGAGGAGTTTCTGACTATTCGCAAGCTAACTACCATACTTAACCCCCTCTCTCCACCCAAATGGCTGACATTTGGACTACCGTTTTAAGCGTATTAGTTTGGCTGTTTTATCCAAACCCTACTGCATAGTGTGCGAACGGCGCTAAAAGAACAAAGCAGTTTTTTGAGCTGAATTTGCCAAAAAGGATTTCCAACTGCCACAAATACATTTTGTGCTCAATTAGAGATAGGATAAAGGGCATCGGTAGAGTGCCTTAATATACCAAATGGAACGAAAAAAAACAATCTTCACTTATTTTTCAAAAATTAATGCCTTTGAAATATAGGTTAAAGTGCAGATTTATGACAGTTTACTTTCTTTAGTACAGAACAAGAGATTTTAGTCTTTGTTCCACGAACAATAGAAGAAATAACGTAAAAAAAAACAGAAACTTTTTTCACTGTATTAATTTTTTCAGCCACCGCTGGTACTCCTGAATGTTATCCTATTAGAAGCGCAGAATCTTATTGCGAAAGACATCAATGGTTTGCACTAAACGAGCTTTTGAATGTCTTTAAACTTAGAAGGATCCTTGTTATTAATAAGCACAGTAACAAAAACTTTTTTACTTGCTACGTTCTTTAGGATTCAGTGATCCTTTCTCAATGCTCGGTGTCATTCCGGGCAAAAACCTGATTGCTCGATCAGCCAACAATAGCAGCAGCAAGAACAGTTCGCCAGACTGTGAAAACTGTGAGTCAGATCCACCGTCATCATTGCCCCCAACTTCTCCCCGTTTCGACAAGGTTATTACAATAAAGCCAATTTTTTGCGTAGACAAAATTTCTTTGGTCTTTTTAGTATTTATCCAGCCCTTCTCCAAAATCATTTTCGTAACTGTATGATAGCAACAGCTTTCAGCCTCGATTTGGTGGTTCATTTCGCCGAAAAGCATTTTCAAAAAAGCAGAAAAGTACAAGACCAGATGAAATTCCAGCAAAGTTCATACAGGCCTCGTCGGTGCAGAAGAAAACTTTAAATCCAAAGTGGAACGAAAAATTTCAGTTTGTTGTAGACGACATCAGTACCGATGAATTTCACATGGATATCTGGTAAAAGTGTTTCAATGCAACACATAATTTTTTCATATAAATGATATATGACGCTGCAATGTTCCTAAACTCAAAAGAAGGACAGACATAGTGAACAATGTAAGACTCATCATGTTCCATCTGTTTTAGGGATATGGACGATGAAGAACGCTCTGTGGTAGATGCCGTTACTTCACTGAATCAAGTGATGGATCTAAAAGGCTTGACACGATACTTCAAACAGGTTGCTCAGAGCGCTCGGGTTGGTTCTGACGAATGTGTCGATGACTTTCTAGGATGTGTCAATGTGAAAATTAAGGTAAACTGAAAATTGTTGTTGGTAGCATCAAATTATGTCTCCTAAAGCTTTAAAACTCAATAACATGCATCAATTTATGGTAATTTATACAAAATAAAATTTTTAGGTTTTTTAATACCAAAGGTAATTTGAATTTTGTTGGGTCTGTATAAAATTTTTAATAACTTCAAAAGACAACTTTTTGTTGTTTACTTTGAAGGTGGATACTTTAAGCCACATTAAACTGTCTAACGTTCTTTTTCTTTAATCTACTTTAGGATATTCCGTCAATAGGCTTGGAGCGATGGTTTACATTAGAAAAACGATCAGAACGTTCCAAAGTTTCTGGAGAAGTGAAACTAAAGGTACATTTACAACAGTCATTTACAACAGACGTTTCATTACGAATAATCTTTCTAAAATCAACAATAGTTTCTCCTCTGCTTTTGAGTAAGTATGACAGTTTTTTCATGGTTTCTGGTATTTCTGTGTGGATTATAATTATTTAGCTTTGGCTAAGTACTCGAGAGGAACCGAAACGTGACGATGATGATTTAACTGATGTAGAGCAACACATCAAGCTGATACAGCAGTTCAGTTTATACGAAATGAAGCAATCGGCAGTAAGCTTTCTAAAAAATCCTACTTGAAGTTTGTGTATTGCCGTTCATGAAAATTACCCGCCATTTCAACCACAATTCTAGCAGGTTAATTCAACATTTACTTTAAATTATGTTCAGGAGTCAGCGTCGTCCTTTCATGGACAACTTTCGGATGCTGCAGAAATCATCTTAGAGCAACATGCCTTACAGAGTGACTTAACACCGTTACACAAAGCCTTTTGGTAACGCTTACTTTAGCATATGTCTTGATAGAAAATAAATTTTCATCAGATTATTCAGATGAAAAACTAAGCGCAGCTCTTATTTTACACTTTTCTTAGCAATTAGTATAGTAGGTTATTGAGTTTAATAAATTTTTTTTAGAAATTCAGTTAGAGAATCTGTAATGCAAGCATATTCGTACTACCAGGTAGTTATATCAAGTGCTGTAGAAACAACTATCTGCAGAAAACTGCCTAATAGGTAAAGAAATAACAGCGAATAAGGGTGACAAGGACCAGGCAAACATATTCTAGTTGTTTTATGATTACAATATAACTTATTTATGGTATTTTGATCTTACTTAGTCAGCCAGTTAACCTTGATATTGCGAAGTAAAATATTAGGATGAAGCAGTTATTCAACATCTCTTTTTTTCATTCCTGACAGCTGCGTGAAAATATTATTGTTTTTTAATCTATCTGTGACAATTACTTGCTCATAAGTAGCGACTTTAACGCTTTCTATAGTAACTACAGCTAAAGAGGATGACAGAATGCGCAACTTTGAAAAAAAATTAACATTTTTTTTT